AAGTATTTTTATTAAGGGAGAGTGGCGCTGCCGTTTCTAATCACGATAGGTTACATACTTTAACGAGAGTCTATTGCTTTACTAGCTGTATGGGATATTTATCCCTAAAACAGCTTCATGCAGCTACTGTAAGCCTGCTTGCCTACAGTATAGGATATCTATCCTGAGAGTCTATTACTACACTAGCTGTATGGGATATTTATCCCTAAGACAGCTTCATGCAGCTACTGTAACTGTAAGCCTCTTTGCCAATACTATAGTATATCTATCCTAGTCAATTACTTTACTAGCGATATGAGATATTTATCCCTAAGACAGCTTCATGCATTTACTGTAAGCCTATTTGCCAATACTATAGGATATCTATCCTTAGAGTCTATTGCTTTACTAGCTATATGGGATATTTATCCCTAAAACAGCTTCATGCAGCTACTGTAAGCCTGCTTGCCTACAGTATAGGATATCTATCCTTAGAGTCTATTGCTTTAATAGCTATATGGGATATTTATCCCTAAAACAGCTTCATGCAGCTACTGTAAGCCTGCTTGCCTACAGTATAGGATATCTATCCTTAGAGTCTATTGCTTTAATAGCTATATGGGATATTTATCCCTAAAACAGCTTCATGCAGCTACTGTAAGCCTGCTTGCCTACAGTATAGGATATCTATCCTTAGAGTCTATTGCTTTAATAGCTATATGGGATATTTATCCCTAAAACAGCTTCATGCAGCTACTGTAAGCCTGATTGCCTACAATAAAGGATATCTATCCTGACGATAGTCCCAGGCGCATGCTCCATCACGCAACAGGATACATGCACATTACATTTTTCTTCACTTTATTCGTCCTACATTAGAATGCAGCTGGCACCTTACATCTGTCTAATCGGTGGCATCATATTCTACTAGGTCTACATCAGCAGAGATAAACTTTAAATGTACAGGTTCACTGACTTTGTTTAATTTCTCTCTGCTATTAAGATTTGTGGGCCGCCCAACGAAACCTTTCCATGAATTACATTTACAATACTGTACTAGTGTAAGCCGTATAAAGAGGGGTCAATGCAAGGAGTGGGCGTTATCTCAAAGAGCAGCGGGGGTCCTCCACGAGTTAAGTCCCCCCCCCCCCCCCCCCCCGTAGCGCTTGATCTAAGATCAAACGTGCTAGTCATCGAGTCAGGCGTGAAGTTGGTTGATTTAGTCAGACGACTTTGGTTTAATTGGCGCAGTGGACTATTGGTACCACTTATTTTTATTTAAGAGTCTATTGGTACTACTTTTAATTAAAACTCTTATTGGTGTTAGTTGTTTTATTTATATTCTATTGGTATAACTTCTTTTATTTAGAGTCTATGGGTACAACATGTAATATCTATAGATGTCTACCGTCCCCCCGAACCAAATAGAATTTATATGGAAAATATATACTTCAATCAGTGCCCCCTACCGGAAAATTTAGTACGACTCTGAAAAGTTTCAAGTGCCCCTCTCCCCCTCGGAGAAACATACCTGAAAGAAACACGTTGCGATATGTCCATAAATGATTCCGCCATAATGTCAGCCACTTCGCTAGACGTTGTATTTTTCATTAACATTTTATTTTTACTTGATCTAGGTCTAATGTAAGAATAAATAAACCCCAGCTCCTGTATGAAAGAGTAGTTCATTTGTCTAATTAGCATAGTAATTAGTTGATCTATTTTGGGCGACACAAAGAACACGTGACAGGTATCTGAGCCGTTATAGAAAAGTTATCGACTACAGTTATCAGCGACACCGCTCATTCGCCCACAATGAATGCTAACCTTTATTGCTTTCTCTCAAAGCTATTAAGTCTTACCGGCAAACTACCGGCGTTGGCCAGATTTCGGTCACCTGTCAAGCCGTCTTCCATTTCCACGATTGAGCCATAGCCCATTCAATGCAGCTTGTAATAGATTTCTCCGTCTCGGCTTTCCTATCGATTTCTCGCGAGTATTATTCCATTGATCGAGATTTCACAAAGTTCTCGGCGTATGCACACTCGATCCAATAGCGCCGATCATTGTTCGTATTTTCGCCTGGAGTGTAACTTAAGCCCATGTAAACTGGATTTAAATGCTCAACACTAACCTACTGTTTGTGGTGATATATTCACTTTGGTGATGCTTAGCTCGAGTTACTTCGTTCATGTTTACTGTGATTAAATTTTAAATTTGATAATCTGCAGGAATTAAGCGTAAAGTTTCAATGCGTGGAATCTTCTAATGTGGTGTTTACAACATAATCGTGTGTTTAGCCGCAGTTGTAAAACTAAACTTATTAAAATAAAAATATAAAAAAAATCTTTTTTTAGTCACGATCCTTTAAAAAATAAGAGGGGGGGGGGGGGGGAGTGTGATAAAAGTGGACCTCTTGAGCGATGTAGCTACAATAGCTATAGGCTAAATATAAAAGGAAAGCGGCTATAGGCTAAATATAAAGGGAAAGCGGCTATAGGCTAAATATAAAGGGAAAGCGAAGTATGCCTATCCCTGTTGAGTACAAGATGGCATGTAATCCTGCGACAACATGTCGCTTGTTTTAATAAACCCGATAAAACCGCCCTACAATTTGAAGAAAATGTTGTGTAGAGTTAAAGCGCTGTATCAGTAGGGTCCCCAGAATTAACGAATGTTTTAACGGCCCCTTCCTATATAGATCTGAGTTTATATATTAATATAGAAAAAATGTTACAACGGACGGGCTGTCACTAAATCATGTCATACGACTATCTACAGTGCGACATATTACGATCAACAGTTTTGAAGGGTTACAGTGCGCGCGTTTAAAAAGTGATTCCCAATGATAAACGACAGCGATAGCTTTATTTACATCCGGGTCTGGTTGATACATTTGTTTATGTCTGACACACTTCCCAACATGTTGCAGGGGATTTATTTCAAGTTCCGTTTTTTACATTTCACATTTTGTTCAAGTATTATTTTCTCAATAGAAAGCTTATCACGAAATACAGCACTAGTTATGTAGGCCGCTGTCTCAATTTAAATAGAAATTGTCTTACCCAAGATAGTGTTCTTATATAATTTTTTTGTTACGTTTTCTGATTAGAGTAGTTCAAGAGTTTTGCTTTAGTTGATGTATTGCTGTAATGGTAAAAGACGAGGCCATCCCATGCTGAAATAAGGATTTGAGAAGACCTAGTATGGCCAAGTAGTAGCAGCGTACTGGTACACATTGACCACAGGACTAGCTCTTGTCTTTACCCCCCCCCCCCCCCACCACCACCACACATATAAGGAATCGTGCACATAGGCCTATAATACACACACACATGTCATTTTCAGCCACACTTAACCACATAATGTTATATAACATCTCAAAACAATACCACATCGAATACGTCCTATAGAATTACTAGTAATACCACCCCCCCCCCCTTTCCTAAACCACTATAAGTTAAGTACTTTTAAAGTGGCCATTTATTAATGAGCTATGATAAGGACATCATGTGATTGAAAATTCATCGAATACATAATTTTTCGAAACAATTGTAAAGCTTATATTGTAGGCTATTTAAACGAAATCGTATATGTATATAATTATAAGCTAAGCCAATTCTGTCAACTTTTTCTTCCAATGTCTCTAAAAATAAGAAATTTTAGGAATATAATAATAAAGAAAATAAAAGGCAGTGGTAAAAAGTATTGCTGTATACGACCACCTACACTATATTATATCACACAGTTATAAATCACACCAATTTATGTGTGTTATATAATAGGCCGTGTACACGATCCATAAACTCCTAAGTGTCACAGTCTTGTCTAGAGCAAGCTAAACTACCCAGCTACGCAATGGAAAAAACTCAATTATTTTAAGTTCACCAAACCAAATAATTTTTAACACTCCATCAACGTGAACAGGTTCCGAGAAACAATATGTTAACATTTGTATACACTATCACCAGTTTTCTGAAGATTTTATTAGTAGTGTAAAGGTTAACTAAAGGCCATTATGTTGGGCATCAATTTGGCGTTAGTCAACTCTTCTAATCCCAAAGATAACATTTATCTCAGACTTCAGCTCAAAGTAAGTATTGCTCTTATACAAAGTCCATTCACATTGTTTCACTAACAGTAACATTCAATAATATTTGATGTGTGTTTGCAAAATGAGCGTCAAGAAATTAAATGTTTAATTCTTTAATGTTCATTTTTATCAATGAAAACAATCTGCAATCTCGTTAACTTTCACAGAAAATATAGCCAAAACTATCTTAAAAATAAACTACAGCTTTTCTCAAGACAGTGAAATAAAAAAAAAGTGGTAAAGATTCTAGATCTCGTAGGAATTTTAAAAAAAAGAAGTAAAAAGTCATTTGTTGTATAAAGGGAAATAACAATTTACAACCTGCTACAAAACTTGTTTTAAATCCATTAACTTCTAAGCCTTATCTGTCTGTACTAATTTCTCAAGTCAATTTGAATATTGAATGATGAGTCATCCACACAAATTAATTAATAATTATAAACGATATTTAAATATTTGTGCACACGAAACCTAAATTGTTTTTACAATAATAAATATATATTATATTGTGGACAAAAACATGGTCCATTTTTAAAAGTCGTTGCTGAATGGTTATAATGAATGAAACAAGATATTTCAGTGTACATAAGAAAAAAAGAATACATATTATGGCAACATCCTAAGTTTGATACCCTGATACATTTTATTTAGCTATAGTTAAATTTGTTTATCTTCTTATTTTAAAATAAAATGCTAGATTGTTCATTTCTATATGAAATAAATTTTGGTAGGCATAACAGAATCTCTCCTTGGCTTATAGATCTAGTAATTGTAATTTTAAAACATTTATTATAAGTTAATAGATATTAAAACAGGTATCAGTAAAAAAAAAGTAATGCTAAATATATATTTTATTATAAAATAAAAAGAATTTTTTAATTTATAAAAATATGTTCCAAATTCCTGATATGAATTACATTAACTTCAGGAAAATGAGAAATATCACAATTCAAGTTTAGATGCAGGAATGAGTTCACCAGCTGCCTATGACAACAGACTCAAAAATATTCCACTGAAAGCCCTACACACTCATCCTGATGCTGAAAGTGGTAACAGGTCAGTAACATATGTGTTAGTTGTTTGTTAGATACAGGTCAGTAACATATGTGTTAGTTGTTTGTTAGACACAGGTCAGTAACATATGTGTTAGTTGTTTGATGGACACAAGTCAGTAACATATGTGTTAGTTGTTTGATAAACACAAGTCAGTAACATATGTGTTAGTTGTTTGATGGACACAAGTCAGTAACATATGTGTTAGTTGTTTGATGGACACAAGTCAGTAACATATGTGTTAGTTGTTTGATAAACACAAGTCAGTAACATATGTGTTAGTTGTTTGTTAGACACAAGTCAGTAACATATGTGTTAGTTGTTTAATGGACACAAGTCAGTAACATATGTGTTAGTTGTTTGTTAGACACAGGTCAGTAACATATGTGTTAGTTGTTTGTTAGACACAGGTCAGTAACATATGTGTTAGTTGTTTGATGGACACAAGTCAGTAACATATGTGTTAGTTGTTTGTTAGACGTAGGTCAGTAACATATGTGTTAGTTGTTTGATTTACACAGGTCAGTAACATATGTGTTAGTTGTTTGATTTACACAGGTCAGTAACATATATGTTAGTTGTTTGATGGACACAAGTCAGTAACATATGTGTTAGTTGTTTGATAAACACAAGTCAGTAACATATGTGTTAGTTGTTTAATGGAAACAAGTCAGTAACATATGTGTTAGTTGTTTGTTAGACACAGGTCAGTAACATATGTGTTAGTTGTTTGATTGACACAGGTCAGTAACATATGTGTTAGTTGTTTGATTGACACAGGTCAGTAACATATGTGTTAGTTGTTTGATGGCCACAATTCAGTAACATATGTGTTAGTTGTTTGATTTACACAGGTCAGTAACATATGTGTTAGTTGTTTGATTGACACAGGTCAGTAACATATGTGTTAGTTGTTTGATTTACACAAGTCAGTAACATATGTGTTAGTTGTTTGATGGACACAGGTCAGTAACATATGTGTTAGTTGTTTGATGTACACAAGTCAGTAACATATGTGTTAGTTGTTTGATTGACACAGGTCAGTAACATATGTGTTAGTTGTTTGTTAGACGTAGGTCAGTAACATATGTGTTAGTTGTTTGTTAGACACAGGTCAGTAACATATGTGTTAGTTGTTTGTTAGACACAGGTCAGTAACATATGTGTTAGTTGTTTGATTGACACAGGTCAGTAACATATGTGTTAGTTGTTTGATGGACACAGGTCAGTAACATATGTGTTAGTTGTTTGATTTACACAGGTCAGTAACATATGTGTTAGTTGTTTGATTGACACAGGTCAGTAACATATGTGTTAGTTGTTTGATTTACACAGGTCAGTAACATATGTGTTAGTTGTTTGATTGACACAGGTCAGTAACATATGTGTTAGTTGTTTGATTTACACAAGTCAGTAACATATATGTTAGTTGTTTGTTAGACACAGGTCAGTAACATATGTGTTAGTTGTTTGATTTACACAGGTCAGTAACATATGTGTTAGTTGTTTGATTTACACAGGTCAGTAACATATGTGTTAGTTGTTTGATTGACACAGGTCAGTAACATATGTGTTAGTTGTTTGATTTACACAAGTCAGTAACATATATGTTAGTTGTTTGTTAGACACAGGTCAGTAACATATGTGTTAGTTGTTTGATGGACACAGGTCAGTAACATATGTGTTAGTTGTTTGATTTACACAGGTCAGTAACATATGTGTTAGTTGTTTGATTTACACAGGTCAGTAACATATGTGTTAGTTGTTTGATTGACACAGGTCAGTAACATATGTGTTAGTTGTTTGATTTACACAAGTCAGTAACATATATGTTAGTTGTTTGTTAGACACAGGTCAGTAACATATGTGTTAGTTGTTTGATGGACACAGGTCAGTAACATATGTGTTAGTTGTTTGATTTACACAGGTCAGTAACATATGTGTTAGTTGTTTGTTAGACACAGGTCAGTAACATATGTGTTAGTTGTTTGATTGACACAGGTCAGTAACATATGTGTTAGTTGTTTGATTTACACAAGTCAGTAACATATATGTTAGTTGTTTGTTAGACACAGGTCAGTAACATATGTGTTAGTTGTTTGATGGACACAGGTCAGTAACATATGTGTTAGTTGTTTGTTAGACACAGGTCAGTAACATATGTGTTAGTTGTTTGATTGACACAGGTCAGTAACATATGTGTTAGTTGTTTGATGTACACAGGTCAGTAACATATGTGTTAGTTGTTTGATGGACACAGGTCAGTAACATATGTGTTAGTTGTTTGATTTACACAGGTCAGTAACATATGTGTTAGTTGTTTGATTGACACAGGTCAGTAACATATGTGTTAGTTGTTTGATTTACACAGGTCAGTAACATATGTGTTAGTTGTTTGATTGACACAGGTCAGTAACATATGTGTTAGTTGTTTGATTTACACAAGTCAGTAACATATATGTTAGTTGTTTGTTAGACACAGGTCAGTAACATATGTGTTAGTTGTTTGATGTACACAGGTCAGTAACATATGTGTTAGTTGTTTGATAAACACAGGTCAGTAACATATGTGTTAGTTGTTTGATGTACACAAGTCAGTAACATATGTGTTAGTTGTTTGATGGACACAGGTCAGTAACATATGTGTTAGTTGTTTGATAGACACAGGTCAGTAACATATGTGTTAGTTGTTTGTTAGACACAGGTCAGTAACATATGTGTTAGTTGTTTGATGGACACAAGTCAGTAACATATGTGTTAGTTGTTTGTTAGACGTAGGTCAGTAACATATGTGTTAGTTGTTTGATTTACACAGGTCAGTAACATATGTGTTAGTTGTTTGATTTACACAGGTCAGTAACATATATGTTAGTTGTTTGATGGACACAAGTCAGTAACATATGTGTTAGTTGTTTGATAAACACAAGTCAGTAACATATGTGTTAGTTGTTTAATGGAAACAAGTCAGTAACATATGTGTTAGTTGTTTGTTAGACACAGGTCAGTAACATATGTGTTAGTTGTTTGATGGCCACAATTCAGTAACATATGTGTTAGTTGTTTGATTTACACAGGTCAGTAACATATGTGTTAGTTGTTTGATTGACACAGGTCAGTAACATATGTGTTAGTTGTTTGATGGCCACAATTCAGTAACATATGTGTTAGTTGTTTGATTTACACAGGTCAGTAACATATGTGTTAGTTGTTTGATTGACACAGGTCAGTAACATGTGTTAGTTGTTTGATTTACACAAGTCAGTAACATATGTGTTAGTTGTTTGATGGACACAGGTCAGTAACATATGTGTTAGTTGTTTGATGGACACAGGTCAGTAACATATGTGTTAGTTGTTTGATTGACACAGGTCAGTAACATATGTGTTAGTTGTTTGTTAGACGTAGGTCAGTAACATATGTGTTAGTTGTTTGTTAGACACAGGTCAGTAACATATGTGTTAGTTGTTTGTTAGACACAGGTCAGTAACATATGTGTTAGTTGTTTGTTAGACACAGGTCAGTAACATATGTGTTAGTTGTTTGATGGACACAGGTCAGTAACATATGTGTTAGTTGTTTGTTAGACACAGGTCAGTAACATATGTGTTAGTTGTTTGATGGACACAGGTCAGTAACATATGTGTTAGTTGTTTGTTAGACACAGGTCAGTAACATATGTGTTAGTTGTTTGATTTACACAAGTCAGTAACATATGTGTTAGTTGTTTGATTTACACAAGTCAGTAACATATGTGTTAGTTGTTTGTTAGACACAGGTCAGTAACATATGTGTTAGTTGTTTGTTAGACACAGGTCAGTAACATATGTGTTAGTTGTTAGACACAGGTCAGTAACATATGTGTTAGTTGTTTGATTAACACAGGTCAGTAACATATGTGTTAGTTGTTTGATTTACACAGGTCAGTAACATATGTGTTAGTTGTTTGATTAACACAGGTCAGTAACATATGTGTTAGTTGTTTGATTTACACAAGTCAGTAACATATGTGTTAGTTGTTTGTTAGACACAGGTCAGTAACATATGTGTTAGTTGTTTGTTAGACACAGGTCAGTAACATATGTGTTAGTTGTTTGATTGACACAAGTCAGTAACATATGTGTTAGTTGTTTGATGGACACAAGTCAGTATCATATGTGTTAGTTGTTTGATTTACACAAGTCAGTAACATATGTGTTAGTTGTTTGATGGCCACAAGTCAGTAACAAATGTGTTAGTTGTTTGTTAAACACAGGTCAGTAACATATGTGTTAGTTGTTAGACACAGGTCAGTAACATATGTGTTAGTTGTTTGATGGACACAGGTCAGTAACATATGTGTTAGTTGTTTGTTAGACACAGGTCAGTAACATATGTGTTAGTAGTTTGTTAGACACAGGTCAGTAACATATGTGTTAGTTGTTTGTTAGACACAGGTCAGTAACATATGTGTTAGTTGTTTGATTGACACAGGTCAGTAACATATGTGTTAGTTGTTTGTTAGACACAGGTCAGTAACATATGTGTTAGTTGTTTGTTAGACACAGGTCAGTAACATATGTGTTAGTTGTTTGATTGACACAGGTCAGTAACATATGTGTTAGTCGTTTGTTAGACACAGGTCAGTAACATATGTGTTAGTTGTTTGTTAGACACAGGTCAGTAACATATGTGTTAGTTGTTTGATTGACACAGGTCAGTAACATATGTGTTAGTTGTTTGATGGACACAGGTCAGTAACATATGTGTTAGTTGTTTGATGGCCACAGGTCAGTGACATATGTGTTAGTTGTTTGTTAGACACAGGTCAGTAACATATGTGTTAGTTGTTTGATTGACACAGGTCAGTAACATATGTGTTAGTAGTTTGTTAGACACAGGTCAGTAACATATGTGTTAGTTGTTTGTTAGACACAGGTCAGTAACATATGTGTTAGTTGTTTGATTGACACAGGTCAGTAACATATGTGTTAGTTGTTTGATTAACACAGGTCAGTAACATATGTGTTAGTTGTTTGATTTACACAAGTCAGTAACATATGTGTTAGTTGTTTGTTAGACACAGGTCAGTAACATATGTGTTAGTTGTTTGTTAGACACAGGTCAGTAACATATGTGTTAGTTGTTTGATTGACACAAGTCAGTAACATATGTGTTAGTTGTTTGATGGACACAAGTCAGTATCATATGTGTTAGTTGTTTGATTTACACAAGTCAGTAACATATGTGTTAGTTGTTTGATGGCCACAAGTCAGTAACAAATGTGTTAGTTGTTTGTTAAACACAGGTCAGTAACATATGTGTTAGTTGTTAGACACAGGTCAGTAACATATGTGTTAGTTGTTTGATGGACACAGGTCAGTAACATATGTGTTAGTTGTTTGTTAGACACAGGTCAGTAACATATGTGTTAGTAGTTTGTTAGACACAGGTCAGTAACATATGTGTTAGTTGTTTGTTAGACACAGGTCAGTAACATATGTGTTAGTTGTTTGATTGACACAGGTCAGTAACATATGTGTTAGTTGTTTGTTAGACACAGGTCAGTAACATATGTGTTAGTTGTTTGTTAGACACAGGTCAGTAACATATGTGTTAGTTGTTTGATTGACACAGGTCAGTAACATATGTGTTAGTCGTTTGTTAGACACAGGTCAGTAACATATGTGTTAGTTGTTTGTTAGACACAGGTCAGTAACATATGTGTTAGTTGTTTGATTGACACAGGTCAGTAACATATGTGTTAGTTGTTTGATGGCCACAGGTCAGTAACATATGTGTTAGTTGTTTGTTAGACACAGGTCAGTAACATATGTGTTAGTTGTTTGTTAGACACAGGTCAGTAACATATGTGTTAGTTGTTTGATTGACACAGGTCAGTAACATATGTGTTAGTTGTTTGTTAGACACAGGTCAGTAACATATGGGGTAGTTGTTTGATTTACACAGGTCAGTAACATATGTGTTAGTTGTTTGTTAGACACAGGTCAGTAACATATGTGTTAGTTGTTTGATTGACACAAGTCAGTAACATATGTGTTAGTTGTTTGATGGACACAGGTATATGTGTTAGTTGTTTGATTGACACAAGTCAGTAACATATGTGTTAGTTGTTTGATGGACACAGGTATATGTGTTAGTTGTTTGATTTACACAGGTCATTAAAATAATATATGGTGGTTGCTGACTGTTCTATTCACTTGTAAGTTATTCTTTCCAATTGAATGCCAATAACATTTCAGCAACAGTTTTAACACTTCCGGTGTCCAGGACATGAAATCTAGTCTTCCCTCAAGGCTCTCCAGGTCAAGCTCAATGTCACGCCTTAACCGCCACAGTGCTGGAGACCTCCCACCCCACCTGGGCAGCCGATCATTTCTTAGTGGATCAACTAACTCAGAAAAATCAGCGCAAGAACTTCAGACTGCACTGGGTAGGATTGTATTTGTAGTTAAAAATTGTATGTGCTAGTGGTACTCAGGAGCTTCACAGGATTAAGTAGTGGTTCATTTGAATAAATGTGCCTAGGGCTAGTAAAAAATATTGACTACTTCAAATCATTATAAAGAAAACAAATTTTTTAAAATTAGGCTTTTAATTAGCCAGGTTATATTAAGTAAATTAAAATTGTTTTTGTTGTCTGGTGTGCAGATGAAAGTGAGTCTCGTCGCAATACTCTAATGCACAAACTCAAAGAGGCTCAGACAACTTTAGATCTTCAAAATGAGCGGCTTGGTAAAATAGAGTCTGCAGCCAAAGAGAATAATGCAATGGTAGAAGATCTCAAATTTAAAGAGAGGGTAAACTATCATGTACATTAAAGTAACCTAATCATTTTGTTAAAGGCTTATAACACTTATACAGCTTATTTGTATTTTGTTGAAGTTTTTAAAAAATTCTACCACATAGTAATTGAACACATAACATTTATGAAAGTATCTAATTCCACTTTTGGAATATAGAAAAAAATTCTACGATATAGTAACTGAACACATAAAATTTATGACAGTATCTATTTCCACTTTAGGAATATAGAAAAAAAATTCTACGATATAGTAATTGAACACATTAAATTTATGACAGTATCTATTTCAACTTTACGAATATAGAAAAAAATTCTATGATATAGTAATTGAACTCATGACAGTTACCAAAATATCTATTTCCACTTAAGGAATATAGAAAAAAAATTCTACAACATAGTAATTGAACACATGACAGTTATCAAAATATCTATTTCCACTTTAGGAATATAAAAAAAAAATTCTATGACTTAGTAATTGAACTCATGACATTTATGAAAGTCTTTATTTCCACTTTAGGAATATAGAAAAAAAATAAATCAGCTGGAGTCAGCTGAAGAAGAAAAGCAAAAATTAAAGATGGAAAATTTGCGACTTCGAGAAGAAATGCAGGACAGGTATCGTAATCTCAGATTATCAACAACATTTATTGATGTTTTAAGAAAAATTCAACTGCAATTTTGACGGGGGTTGTAGGCTGAGGTGTGACGTCATTTTAGGGGGGGGGGGTCTGGCGTTTTGTGACAATGTGTGACGGAGGGGAGGGGGGAGGTAAAAATCATCCAAAAAGCGTGACATCATTTATGGATGACCCCTAATGACCAAGTTAACACTGTATTATCTACTTACAGAATTAGTGCGCTAGATTTCCAGCTAAAAAGTTTGAAGAGCCAGCACCACAGTACTGAGAGTGATAATGATAAGAGGGTGCACCTTCTTAACCACACCACCACCATTTTATCTCTCTTAGAGGAGGAGAATACAAAACTACAGCAGGTGAGTTCAATTACTTTATCAGCCTCTCACACATTGCTTTGTTGTTTTAATATTATAATCTGTCTCTGTTTATGTTGAAATATATCAACTAACGATTGTGTACTAATCAGGACAAAGAAAAATTGAAGTCAGAAAATGCTTTGATGAAAGAAGCCTTTGGTATGACTAAAACTAGGTTTGGGACTTTGGACAATGATAACAGAAATCTTACAAAAGAATGTATATTATAATCTGTCTCTGTTTATGTTGACATATATCAACTAACAATTGTGTACTAACATGCATTATGAATCAGGACAAAGAAAAATTGCAGTCAGAAAATGCTTTGATGAAAGAAGCCTTTGGTATGACAAAAACTAGGTTTGGGACTTTGGACAATGATAACAGAAATCTTACAAATGAATGTATACGATTAAAAGAAGTGAGTGGATATTTTTAGCAATTTGAAAATAAATGATAATTAAAATAAAACAGCATTGTAGTATTAAAGATTAACTTTGTTAAGGCTATACATTCCATGCATATTTTTTCATTATATTATTTGCAATTTAAATTTAACAGCCTGTTTTTAAAAACTTTTTGCTGAACAGTGTTTCACTTAAGCTTTGAACAATTTTTTAACCTAAGCTTTGAACAATGTATAACTAAAGCTTTGAGCAATTTTAACTTAAGCTTTGAACAATGTTTAACATAAGCTTTGAACACTGTTTAACTTAAGCTTTGAACAATTTTTTAACATAAACTTTGAACAATGTTTAACTTAAGCTTTGAACAATTTTTTAACATAAGCTTTAGCTTTGAATAATGTTTAACTTAAGCTTTGAACAATTTTAACTTAAGCTTTGAACAATTTTAACTTAGGCTTTGAACAATGTTTAACTTAAGCTTTGAGCAATGTTTAACTTAAACTTTTAGCAATGTTTAACTTAAGCATTGAACAATTTTAACTTAAGCTTTGAACAATGTTTAACTTAAGCTTCGAACAATGTTTAACTTAAGCATTGAACAATTTTTACTTAAGCTTTGAACAATTTTAACTTAAGCTTTTATGAAATGAAGCTGTAAAAAACTATAATCTTAATCATCACTAGGACAACACAGTATTATCTAGAAAAGTTCAAGAAATGGCTGGTCAAATGATGGAACTGCGGAGTTTACTGCAAGCTGTGAGGGATGAGAATGAACGTCTCTCTTCCACCTGGAGACACTCTACTGAAGTATTTGATTAAAATTCATTTCATTCAAACTCATGAGTTTATCACTCAAGTAAACATATAATTTACTATAATCGAATAGATTTATTTCATATCAGACTGTATACACGTATACACTTTAACAAATGTTAATTTTTATTGAAATCAAGGTAGTCAAGATTATAGAAATAATAAAACACTTAAATCATCAGTGTATTATTTTATGTTGGCTATTTTAGGACAAAGTTCAAGCTGCCAAGCAAGTTGAAAGCTACAAAGACATGCTGACTGATCTAAAAGCCAGGCTTTCTGCAACCAGTGCTGATCGTGACAGATTGTTTCAAGAGAAACTGGAGATGAGCAGTAGGATACAGCAAATGGTCCTGGAGAAGGAACAGCTAATGAGGGTATGAGTCTAATTTTTAATTAGATTTTTAGTAGGATACAGCAACTGGTCCTGGAGAAGGAACAGCTAATGACGGTATGACCCTAGTCTAATTTTTTATTAGATTTTTAGTAGGATACAGCAAATAGTCCAGGAAAAGGAACAACTAATGAGTGTATGAGTCTAATTTTTAATTAGATTTTTCAACATTTAAAAAACTGAATTTATAAGAAAAGAACAACAAATAACCAATCCTGTGGCAACTGTTGGCTTTGTTGTATATTTTATCAGACACATGTATGATCTTTAATTCTTAGTTAAAAACCTCATATTCTATTTATATCATAGTTTTAAAAATTCAAAATAAAAATGGCAGAAATACTTAAACCTATTAATTAAAGCTTATTTGTTATATAGGCCAAGCTGAGCCTTGAAGATCAAATTGGTGCCCAGCAGATTAGATATAGCCCTCACAAACATAGAAAACAAAATGTAGATAATGGTGATCTGAATGCAGAGCTGACATCTGTTAAAAAGGTAATGCTGTAAGATGGAAGTTACTTAAAGAAAATTGAATTGACAAACTGTTTAGTGTTTTAAAGCTACTTAGATATCCTTTCAAACTTGGTGGCCCATGGGGCAGGTGGAGTTACCTATTTCTGTGACCTAGGCATCTGCAAGGAGTTTGATCAGCACTACGCCCACTATACTTTCCCTGGTGTTAAATTATTCAATATCTTAAGAAGATCTATTTTAAAAAGAGTTTATATTTAAAAGCTTAGGCAAGTTTAAGGATATGTTATAAAACATGTTTGTAAATTATGTCTAGGTGTGTGAAGAGCTCACATCAGAACTCTCTTCTGTGAAAGTTTCCTATGAGCGTGCCTTAGAACAAGTCTCAGTTCTAGAAAGAAGCAAAGCAATTTGGCAATCCCAGCAAGAATTATTAAACCAGGAGAGATTGAGACTACAATCTGAGTTAGACAGATCAACACAGGTAGTCCTCAAATTAGATTTAATTTTTAAAAATCTGGCCAATTTGTACAATTTAGTTTCATAGTGAATGTAGGCTCTACCTCTTTAAAAAAAACAAAAAAAACAACCTGTATATAGGTTGAATAAAATAAAAAACCCTATAGGCCTAAACAGTGAATGTATACCTTTTTACCAGCTTTTATTCTTGAATAGAATAAAAAACCCATAGTTACATTTAAAAATTTAAACTGTTGAATGCTCATATCCTTTTTTTATTATTTTATTCAATTGATATAATTTTATTGCAGGTGAAAAATGGTAAAAGCAGTGATGAGAGCAAAGACAGAAATTTTCAAGATGAGATAATTCAGAGGCTCAGGGTTGGTATTTGGTTATCAATGGGAGGCTACTCAACAAAATGCTGAAACATAATATGTTAAGATAATTTTAATTTATTTTTTGGAATAAACCGAAAAGATAAAATTTACAGCAAAAACTATATTCTTTAAAAAAAAAATTCTTGTAAACAGATATTAGCATTATATGCAAAAAATAAACTTTGGCATTTTAAGTAATTTCAACATTTCTTTAGGTTTTAAAACAAATATTATATGTATTATATTTTATATGTTGTTCAGGCAGAACTGAAACAAGTCAAGTATGAAAGAAACAATATAGAAAGTCGAGTACATGAGTTAGAAACTGTAAGATTTTGTTGAGAAACACAAATATCATACATTAATTATTTAATTAATTTTCAAAGAAATGAACTATAGCTAGGTTTGAAGTTTATTTATAAATTAAGATGATTAGTTGTATTCTGATTTGAAAAATTAAAAAGAAACATTTTGAAAAGAATAAGAATTTTAAAAAAATTTGGTTCCATAAAGAAATTAGCTAGAGCCAATGAAGGGCTGAGGGAGGAGTCTTTATTCCAATACTCTGAGCTTGATACATGGAAAAGTACATGTGAGAGACTAACATCCACAGTAAACAGAAAGGAGTCAGAGTTACAGAACCTGACAGACAGATGCCATGAAATGGAGGATATGGTGGGTAGAGTTCATACTTAAAGCAGTATAGCAGTCAAAAAATGGATGTCAGTTGAACATTTGTAAACTTTCTGTTGGTATAGGTGACCAACTTGCGCCATGAACTACACATTTTCAAAGATAAAAGTAAAGTTCTTTCATTCAAAGAGGAAGAGGCAGAGAGGTAGATTTCAGTTTAAATTTTTGCTTCATCTTTGTATTCTACTTCATAACTTTGACAATACAATCAAAAGTTATTTATTTAAAAGATATAGATTAACAATTTTAAAAACTATATTCTAATGCAGAATTAAAGCTGAAAATAGAAGATTGCTACAAGAAAAAGCTGAAAATGAACAAATGATTAAACTTCTAGAAACACAAAAATCAGTGCTCGCAAAAAATGTAAGATTTGTTTTTCTTAGAATTTTATTTACTATTCATATTTACCACTAAGCAAACACTACCTACTCAGTATATAAAATCCTGTTTGTAGTTAAAAGGAATTAAACTATTGTAGCATGTTTTTTACCTAAAGTACGATGACTGTAATAAACTCTAGTAAAACTTAAAGAAAAAAACACGCCATTTATGTTTGAGAAAAATATGGTCTATAATGTTTTACTTTCAGTCAGAAGATGGTATACACAAATTTAGGGAGGTTGGGAATCAAAGCTCACATGTGGACAAACTCAAAGATGAAAATGAAACATTACGGTAATATTTTTAAAAGTTTAGATGTACAATATTTAGCTTAAAATTAAAAAAATTAGTTTTTGTATAATTTGATCCTATCCATATACTTTTATGATTGGAGGGCAGTAGCAATTTATATTTTAGACTACATCTTTCTTTCTTGATTTACATACTTTATGTTGGTTTTCTAAAAGGAGAAGAATCAAAGAGTTGGAAATAGTCAGAGATAACTTAGTTCAGCAAAAAGAACAAATGTTGGTGAGTTGCCACCCCGCCCCTAGTGAATTAAATTAGTAGATAAAAAATAGTAATTAAAATGCTATGACTGATATGTTTTATTTTTAACAATAACTGAAGTTTAAATGAAGAAAAAGCTATTCTCTATATTGCAGAATAAAACTGGCTTCTTAAGTAACAATGTGGGATTCCTGAGTAGTAGTTTAGGCTTGGAAGAACTTGAGAAGAAAAACAAAGAACTGAAGGAAACCAATGAAAGTTTATCTTATAAGCTTAACCTCGCTAATCAGGTAATTAAACTACTGACTTTTGGTTCATAAAAAACTGGCTATAAAATGTTTTTGAAACTGTCGGATACAATTTCTAGCTTATTGTTTTTAAAAAAATTGTTTGCTATCAACATTGTGGAAAAAATACTATTATTTAATAGGAAAATAAAAGGATAAAAAAGACTTTGAGCAGCCCATCTTCCAAAAATGAAGCAGAAAGGCTAGTAGTATTTTTGTTTATGCAATTACATATCTTTATATATTCTTTATCTTTACTCAAAATCCCTTAAAATATTGGTCACATTTGAAAAAAAATACTGGTTTATTATAGGTTGAACTAAAAAGATTTCTTTGTCATTATTAGTTTTAAAACTAAACCACTCAACTTTTAAATAAATTGTACATGTGTATATATATATATATATATATATATATATATATATATATATATATATATATATATAAAACACATATATATATATATATATATATATATATATATATATATATATATATATATATATATATATATATATATATATATAACACATATATATATATATATATATATATATATATATATATATATATATATATATATATATATATATATATATATAACACACATATATATATATATATATATATATATATATATATATATATATATATATATATATATATATATATATATATATATATATATATAAGCCTATGTGTATATATAAATCAATAATTTAAACAATTTCTGCAGACTGAAAGAGGAGAATCTGAAACTTCAGGATGAATTAAATAGGATTAAACAAGATTTTGAAAATGTATCCTCAAAACAAGGTATGTTTCGAATAAATATTATAATGCCGATACTAACATAGAAAAGTACTAAATAAAGTAGAATGACTTTTAATTATTTACCTTTAAGATTAGTGGCTATGGTAATTAGATATTTAAACATATATGACCTGAACAGAGAAACCAGACATGGTGAAGCTGCAGAAAGAGAAGGACGCTGTACAAAAACAGGTCACTTTACTGCAAGGTCAAATCCACCTCATGGAAGGCAGCAAAAAAAGGGCAGATGAAGAAATCAAACAGTTGAACTCTGAACTTGATGAGGTCAGGTCTAAATATATCCAAGTCAATAATGAGAAAGGTTTACGGTATGTATTTATGTATGTCATTAAACTTTTCATTGAAATTTGTCTTTCAAGATATACATACATGCTCCAATACACGTTTACATTAAAGATAACAAATATTTCCTTGATCACTTTCAAAAATCTTACAATGATTGATTTTGAATAAAAAGATTTAAAATGTTGGCTTAAAGATGTTGAAAAAATATTTCCATTAAATTTCAAGAAATTTGTTTGGTGAGGACCATGTGAGAGAAATACAAGAGCTGAAACGACAGCTGGAGAAATCTGAAGAAATACAGAAAAATCAAGAACAAGTCATTCACAACTTGAAACAGGCTAGTTGGTTATTAAAAATATTATAAAAGTTTCCATTTGATACAAGTGGCTGATTTGATGTTTTATAGGCTTAGTGGCTTAAAGGGTTTTGTTTTTGTAAAAGTTTCTATTTTTTATAATTAGGAACAAAAAGTAGATGGTAATACGGAGGTGGCTGATTTGAAGAAGAACATACAAGAGCTTCAAAATGAAGTTGACAGAAAAGAAAGAAGCATAGAAAAACTTGAAAGGGAATTGAAGTCAACTAAAGAATTGTCTGAGTCAAAGTAATTACATTTATTCTACATTTTATTTGATATTTTTTTTGTTTTATTTCTTTTTCATTTTGGAAAATGTATTTTCCCAGTTTAAAATAGACCCAACTTTTGACTACAATTTCTATTTTATTTGATTGAATTTTAAATTTTTTTAGTTTGTTGCAATTAAAACAAAATGAAAAAACCCCACATAAACTTAACCTTAGATGATGCGTTTAAATTAAAAAATTATTCAATGTTTGTATATAAAAAAAATAATAAAAAATGTACTACTTTAACACTATAAATTTCTAAGAATTAAACATTTGTATTCACTATCTAAGGGATATTGAACTAAGGAATCTGTACAAAACTGCAGAAGAGATAGAAGCTGATAACAAAGCTCTAAGGAAAGATGTGCAAGAGATAAGAAACACATTAGCTGCTGAACTAGCACAGGAACAGCAAGCTTTGTATGCACTCAAGTTTTCTTATATTTGCAAATTCATTGTTTTTTCTAACCTGTGAATTAATAAAGCAGAGAAAAAAACATTTAAAACAAATTCTATGTAGAATATTTGTGTTCAGAAAAATACAAAATATTTGTTGTGTACAGATAGATAGAAAACAAATAGTTGTATAATATGAAATTTGGGCATTTATATGTGTAAATTCGTGAAATAATATTTTTTATTTCCCAGAAAACAGCCTAAAGTGGAAAGTAAGTTAAAAATTTGCATTGCATTCTTATAGGTTTTAGCACTGTTTTTTAAAAAAAAATACAAAACATTAGGTTTCTATAAACAGCATAAATTCATCATAATTATTGAAATGAAAATTACCCATAACACTTCAGTAATATCTGATTTTGTATTTATTTATATGACTCAGCTGTTTTTTAAAAAAAGTTTATGTAACTGATCATCTCGTTTAAATAACATAATTGATTCTTTTGGCACAAAATGCACATAATTTTCTCACATTTCAAAACTTATCTGACAATATTGCAAATTATTATTTTTAATATCATCATTGCTAATTGGTAAAATATTTTGTAAAAATTAATTTTTGGCAGAGTCTTTGCAAGAAGAATTATTTGAGGCTGTAAAAAATAAACAGGTAATGCATTTCAATAAAGTAAATTTTAGGGCGGGGAGTGTGTCATGTTGTAATGTCAACTTTCTTGGTTACCCCCCTTATTGTTAATTAACAAATTAACAAGGGAAATTATTACACTATGGTAACATTGTGAACTCCCTGAATATTTGATGATGCAATTTTATTTTTGTTTGGTCAAGAATGCCTTTTTTTTTTTTTATTCATCTTTTTATGTCATAAGTTTTTCATTTCATACTTTTTGTTTTGCTATTTGAATAGGAGGGTAACGTAGTGATAAGACGAGGGTCAAATCCATTTAGAAGCAAGTCCATCCACAGTCTTCAAAGACCTGCCAGCGCACCCCCAACTCCAAGCGATGAAGGTAAAACCCAGCACAAAGGTCAATTTGGAACCTTATTTTTTAACTGTGAGTAAACCCACGTGCCAAATAGCAGCACGCAGTCTTGTAGAGTGACCTCCCTTGATTGACACCTGCACTGATCTAGTTCTGCTTCAAGGTCTAATTCATTAGCTTCAACCCGCTGTAAGTTAAAACTGACATCTAAATAAACGATACTTTAACACTGATTTAATTAACTAAATTTTCAAATTAGTTTTGCACATTTATTAAAAAAAATACCCCAGATGCACATCCTTAGATTATAAAATACCAAGAAAAGCACTTTTCTTATATTGTTATGTGCACTTTTTATATAATTCAAAGCACTCCTATTTCAAAGCACTTCTACCTTAAGTTCTTAGCAATTTATTTATAGAAAATAATTTTTTTAGCCAGTCAAAATAAAAACCCATTATATTTTACCAAAATATCAGTATTAGCATAATTAGCATTTTCATCCTTTGATCTATGTAGTTTTCAATTATATCCTAAATATTATTCTTGAATATATCCAAACTTGTTTGATACTATATTTAAAGTTTTGTATTACCTGCCATAAACTAAGCTAGTAATGCTATATTTTAAAAAAATAAAAAAATAAAATTAAGATACACATTTTGAGATATTGCACATTTAATTTTTTTTTTCCTCTTACTTATTTTTATATCTTTTTATTTATCTTTTAAATTTAAAATATATGTAAAATATGAATACTTATATAGCACCTGATGTATTTAATAAAATTTAAAATGAACACACATTAACTTTGTATCTTAATACATATTTTGCAAGTGCTTACATATTCTTTTCAGGATTGTAAGTGATTTAATTTAAATGATATAGTTTTTAAAAATTATTTGAGCCTAAAAACAAATACTTTATATACTTTGTATGAAAATGACTCTCAAATTAAATGAGTTAAAGTAAGGAGGATGTCTAATAATGGCATTGGTAGCTTTTAAATATAAGCTCCTGGATACACTGAATAAGTAAATAAATGCTACTGCAAAATCTATTTACTTTCCAAAATAAAAGATTGTCCTTTTTATAGATCAGAAGTCTTTAGAATGAGTATATACAGTAATTGATATATAATTGGCCAAAAAGTAATTAAGCATAATATGAAACTACACCCAATTTATCCATTGAGTTCTCATCTGCCATTGCTTAATAAATTATAATTAATTATAAAAACACATTTCTGAGTAAATGGAGTACATTTTTATTTCAAATATTAATACATTTAAATTAAACATTTTTTTAGTTATTTTTACATAGTGAAGATTAATATAACCATTTCAAATAAGTTTCATTTAGTCAAAACATTTATTTCTTTATTTTAATAATCTTATGAATGGATTGTATAATTTCTTAAATTAATGTTGGCAGCTTTTTTGCAAGTTATTGTGTAGGTCTACTATGTTATTGCTTAATGTTTGACAAATTTTAAAATCATAGTACCTTTAAATCTAAGTAGTGCTAGGTAAATGTTTTTGCTTAAACATACTATTTTAGTTTTATTTGAATAGAGTAATTAAAACAACCTTGACCGGTGGCAATGGTGCTGGGGGAGGGGAGGAGGGGGGGGGGGAAGAGGGTTTTATAACCTCAAAATGACAGCTGCCCTATGTTAAGTTAGTGTTAAATTCTGGATTTTCTCTAAAAAAATTTGATGTGTTTATTTTTAAATATAGGCTTTATTTATATGTATGCATATATATGACAGTTTTTGTCTTGAAAAAGTTCTCATAAACAAAATCCTGCCTATTCCATTGACCGATTAAAAGTCTTTTGTCTTGTACAGTATTTAAAAATAGAAAAGGTCACTTAAATAAACTTCTGTGATTTTGATATTAACAGTACCAGAGAAAACCACCACAGATGGCAGCACCCGTCTCCAATCTCTAATCTCCAAGTATCGTAACCATAGTGACGCTGGGGAACAGGAAGAAGCCAGCGCTACACCCAAACCAATACCAGGTCTCATCCCTTCCAAAATCATCTACAAAAATAGATTCGGCATCACTGCCCCAAAATCTTCTCCCCAAACATCTGCAGACGCCTCAACATCAGAGTCTGCGTCTGCTGAAAAACCAGAAGAGACTTTAAATTCCTCATCTCAGCTTACTCCAAGACCGGTGAAGAAGCTGATGCCTCCAGCTCTCTTACCTAAACCAGCATCACTAACATCCTCCGGCACCAAGTCCTCCTTCATGCGGACCATATCAGGTGAAAGTAAAGAACCAACAACCAAGGCACCCTCCCCTCTGATGTCTCTTAGATCTTCCTCAACTTCAAGCTTGAAGAGCTCTGGGCTTGGCCAGTCTCTGGGAAACACTGAAGGATTGAATGACAGTCTGGAACAAAAGGACATCAATGCATTGATACAAAAGTAAGTGGTTTTTGCTTCTTAAATAACATCAATGCTTTGATACAAAAGTAAGTGGTTTTTGCTTCTTAATGACATCAATGCTTTGATACAAAAGTAAGTGGTTTTTGTTTCTTAATAACATCAATGTTTTGATACAAAAGTAAGTGGTTTTTGTTTCTTAATAACATCAATGTTTTGATAGAAAAGTAAGTGGTTTTTTGGCTCTTAATAATATCAATGCTGTGATACTAAAGTAACTGGTTTTGCTTTTAAAGGACATCAATGCTTTGATATGAAAATAAGTAGTTGAATAAAATTTAGGATCAAGCTTAAGATTAGGATTAGGGTTGGCAATAGGGTTAATCTTAGGATTAAGGTTAGAGCCAGGATTAGAGTAGCCATGCTATCAATAAAACAGCCTTGCAAACAGCCAGATGATTGTAAATCAATGTTTATTTTACCCATATTGTTACACCTGTTTGATGCTGTAAGACAATAGCGTAGGGACAAAATGAGTTATCTGTATTTCAGGACATAGCCTACACATCACTATTTTGACTATAAATGTCCATTAGATACCCTACATTTCACATTTGGTTGATGCCCTTACTAGTAACTTTTATATAACTGATATACTTTTTATTATGTTCCCTATTGATTTATTTGTTTAATTAGCTAGTATCTCCTTAAACCTACAAATACTATGTGAACATGGGAATTGAGTTCTAATTTTTAATTATCATTGAGGGAGAGTGAGGGGCAACTGTATATCACTATTTTATTTTTAAAATTACTTCAAAATTTGATGTTCTTATTATTGAATTGATCACGCTTAGTAAGCAAAAATTTTTTTTTCGTAGGTTGTGAAATTTTACAGTTTGTTGCATTGTTTAGGATTTCCATGTTTTTTTTTTTAAAATGTATACTTGGTTGCTTCATTAGAAGTAAGTTAAATCTAATATCTGGAAGTGATTGCAAGGGCGATAATAAAATTTTAAAATACTGATTACCTCTCTTAGATAAGAAAATTAACTTTTTGAACGGTGGTAAAAAAAATTCCGTAAGTAATCAAACTGGTTTTAAACGTGTATCTTACAAGACAAATTGTTTACACATATTTTTAAAAATTTAAAAAATCTTCTTTGCTAAATATTTGTAAATAAATAAGACACGTTTTACAAACTAAACAAAAATCAACTACAACGTTGTTGCTTATTAACTTCCCAACTACCCAATTAAATTAGTTCAAAAGAGAACGCACGCAGGTGAGTCAAAGATTAATCACAAAATAATGTAGCTAATTAAGTGCCTGGTTTTGCTTCTTTTTTTACACTTTTTTTTACAGAATAGACCGCCTCTCTTCTCTGCATGCACAAGCACTGCTTTCTTTTTTGTTTTTTAACTCTGTTTTTTAAATTATTCCACATTTTTTACTGCCTCAAATTGTGTCTAGTTAAGAACGAACATGTTTCAGCTTTTTTTAAAAAACAATCACCGCACCATCTGTTTTAGAACACTGTAGTATTTCTACCTGCCATCTTAAATCAACAAAATTGAAATAAGTTTAAGTCTCTAAGAACGATTGGTACTATTTCTACTGAGTAACTTACCCCACGAAATCAGTCAGAGTTGAGTAGATTGATTTGTTCAGGCCTAGTTTACAGCTGGCAGGATATCCTAGCCTGTTAGCAGCAAAATGCAGAAGAGCATTTTGTGGTGGGTTGATGCAGGGTTCCTTTCGGTCGTTTTCTTTTGTGAGGATGGAAGAATTATCTTGAAACTTCCGGGGTGGGGTGGAACAATGATTATTATTATATATGTATTAATTTTTTTATATATTGGCCTATGTATTGCCCCATTAAAACACCGATTGTACTTTCAATTCTGGTATCTTGTTTATCGTCAACAGACCGGATTTCGTTTTATTTTAATATTTCAAACTCCAGTTTAAAGTAGTTTAATATATAATTTCTTGACGTTTTCAATTCTTATATTTTTTTTTTAAAAAGCGGGGGGGGGGGGGGGGCGCATTCAGTGTATAACAACGTAGACATTTTGCTGGCAAAAAAGAAAGTATACTTAGGCTAAGACACGTGTGGCCAAGTTTATCAATAGGTGTCTTATAGAGGGTAGTGTAGATAAAAATACACCTTTGTCATACTGACACACGTACACTGCTAGGAGACCTTTATTAATGTGTAAAAAGAGGACATTTTTCGCGTCAATAATTCCTCGATACTTTATACTAGATCTGATGTCTTTTCTGTTTCATGACGACTATATAAAAATCTATTATAACAAAACACACACACGGATTTGTACCATAGATTTTGGACACATTTTTGTACATTTAGATTTGTATCTAGATCTAGTTACTCTATTTAGAAAACCTGATTATAAATTAGTGTTTTTTTTTTAATTCTGAACTTACTAGAGTCGCAAGTCATATTTCTTTTGGTTTCAAAACACTGACTGACTGTGACAATACTTTTATTTTTAGTCTAGCTCTCCACATCCATTTGCTAATCTTCTTTTTTTTTTCTCTTTAAGGGAAATAAAGGACAAGTAAGTGGTAGAAACTTCATATTTGACTAACAATTAGAACTAATTTTACGTTTGGCTCATAGGGAAATTAACGTTGAAACAATCTGCCTAAGTAGGTGTCGGCTTGTTGAAGACCTGACATCGTTGCTTTAGTTACGTTGCTAGTAATAGACCTGCATAATTTTGTTAACGTTATACAATCTGCGTTACTTCTCATAGATAGTTGAACAAGGGGTAGCTTCGCTCTTAGTAAACTTCATAAGAAAAGAATTCTTCGTTTTCTTTGCTCCTTTGATCTGCCAGTTATTTTTTTAATTATAGAAATTTTTTATTTTCTATTAGTTTACTATTATTTAGTTTGTCTCCGATACTACATTTTTCTTTTAGTTAACGTTGACACATCCAACAGACTTACGGCATTAGTTCACGCTGATATATATATATATATATATATATATATATATATATATATATATATATATATATAATAAATATAGCCACATGTAACTTAAGATAATTTCTTTATTACCGAGAAATGTTGGGCCCCTTTTTCCTTTCGGCCTTATAGCCCGTAAACTAGTTCTAATAATGGGGGATGGGGCACAGCCTACGACCTTATAGTTATTATTACTGACGCACATCCCAAGAGCATAGGTATTCAACACGTAGGTTCGTACACATAAACCTACTCTGACATAGTGGTTCGTGCACATAAACCTACTCTGACATAGTGGTTCGTACACATAAACCTACTCTGACATAGTGGTTCGTACTCATAAACCTACTCTGACATAGTGGTTCGTGCACATAAACCTACTCTGACATAGTGGTTCGTGCACATAAACCTACTCTGACATAGTGGTTCGTACACATAAACCTACTCTGACATAGTGGTTCGTACTCATAAACCTACTCTGACATAGTGGTTCGTGCACATAAACCTACTCTGACATAGTGGTTCGTGCACATAAACCTACTCTGACATAGTGGTTCGTACACATAAACCTACTCTGACATAGTGGTTCGTACTCATAAACCTACTCTGACATAGTGGTTCGTGCACATAAACCTACTCTGACATAGTGGTTCGTGCACATAAACCTACTCTGACATGCTGGTTCGTACTCATAAACCTACTCTGACATAGTGGTTCGTGCACATAAACCTACACTGACACGTAGGTTCGTGCACATAAACCTACTTTAAGTGACACGCTGGTTCGTACACACAAACCTGCTTCAAGCTTCACTCTCGTGTGTACATACATGCCTTCTCTAACCGACCAAGAGGCCGCTCTGTACAATTTACTTAGTCGGGAAATTGCCATCGATTTTATGTCAGCCCATACACTTGCTAGTTAGAAAACTGTTCATAAAACAGTCCCCACTCATTGAAATGTGGATTTATTGTCGTCATTTTTCTTATGAAAAATTTATGAACATCATACATAGTCCTACAAGAGGAGACTTTGATTGGCTTGCTGTTAAAAGGTTAGTTGAATACATGACGGAAATATAATTTGGTTTACGACATTGCAATGGTCATTAAGCTGTCCATGTCACGGGCCGTACATTATAATGAATGTCAAGAAACGACCATGAGTAAAAAGTGGTTAAAGACTTGATTTATTTCCTGCATAGAAATGTCTTCTCCGTGTAGGATTTTTTTATAATGTACCAAAGGTTTACGAGTTAGTCACGTGTTAAAGATGTCGTGACATGATTGGTTGGCTGGAAGTTACATAATTAAAGAAAACCTTAACAATTAAAATAAGTACCAGCACTGGTGCGTGGAAATGTTTAGAGCTGATATATACATTCCTACAAATAAGGTCAAAAGCTTATGCTGCGAAAAATAATTTGGTTTCTTATCTAGCGCCAAATCTGGCCACAACCTATAACTCAAATTCACTAAAACTAACCTAACGTAATTGTCTTAAATGTAACTATGGGACAAATTTAGAACATGTAAGGTTGCCAAAGATACAACAAATGCCTTATTTTATTGCAAAATAACTATAGTGTTAGAACAGAACATATTTCTAGCACTAAGATCAGCCAACAATCTTTTGGGCTATCGCGCCCCTAGAGTTGCTAAACTGAAGTTTGTAAACATTTTAAATCAACATAATTGAAAGTAATCCGCTTGATTAATTAAGGCCATGGATTATTATAATATGTAGTTAACTGATCAACAACCGTGTATGCAACCAAGTCTTCCTTTAGTGACTTTATAATCTTAAAGCAAGTTCGTAAAAAACGTTCGAGCATTGTATCCGACGTGTAATCTTCTTTGTGTTGTTAACACTTCTAGACGAGATGACGAAAGTGAAGTCATTATCCGAACAAAAAATTAAGTGTGTTACATTTTTTAGATATTTAAAATACCATATCACTTAAATCCTAATGTTTTTTTCTTTAGTCAAACCATTTAAATACTATTAAATCATAGCACTTTAATCTCAAGGGCTGTAAATAGATGTATTAAAAAATGTTTAAAATCCCTACTACCAAAGTTTTCATGCTAACACACAACGTAAAACTCCCCGTCATATTTCGGCCTTAACGCGTTATAGCCAGAGGTGTAAAGCGGCCCAAAACGCAATGAATGGAAATTTTAATGACTTTTTTCCAAACTTAAAATTTTCCACATCTTTGGTCGACGACTATATTTAGACTAGGTTTATACAGACAGTAAACAGTTCTAGAAATTTCTGAATCCACCAACATGCATGTGTTTGGCCTTCCAGTCTTGCATCGATCCTTTATTATCGATACCATGCCATTCAGCTGTCCTATTTTTTGTTTCTCGATTCCTCAGTATCCATACGATGCCATTCATCTGCCCTGTTTTATTCCTCGATTCCTCAGTATGGATACGATGCCATTCATCTGCCCTGTTTTATTCCTCGATTCCTCAGTATGGATACGATGCCATTCATCTGGCCTGTTTTATTTCTCGATTCCTCAGTATCCATACGATGCCATTCATCTATCGCAAGTTTTATTTCTCGATTCCTCAGTATCCATACGATGCCGTTCATCCGTCGAGTGTTTTATTTCTCGATTCCTCAGTATCGATACGATGCCATTCGTCTATCGCAAGTTTTATTTCTCGATTCCTCAGTATCCATACGACGCCATTCATCTGCCCTGTTTTATTTCTCGATTCCTCAGTATCGATACTGTGCCATTCATCTGTCGTGTGTTTTATTTCTCGATTCCTCAGTATCGATACGATGCCATTCATCCGTCCTATTTTTTATATTTCTCGATACTTCAGTATCGATACTGTGCCATTCACCTGTCCTATGTTTTATTCCTCGATCCTTCAGTATCGATACAATGCCATTCATCTGTCGTGTGTTTTATTTCTGGAACTGGAAAAAAAAGTTTCCTCCTGTAGGACAATAATCAATTCGTGTTTGTCAACGCCCCCAGCTACCAATGCTAATTACTTGGCCTGTTTTCTTACCAGAAAAAATTGTGACCAAAAATTTAATTTTTTTAAAGAATAACACACTGCTTGTTAGGATTTAAAAGATGCTGGTTGTTTTTTTTTATCTGGCTAAAAAATACGGTTTTGTTTGAACAGATATATTCTTCTAAAAATTGCGTCTGGGTTTAGTAATTTAATAATACATTTTACGTTAGTAAAATATTTATTCAAATGTTTATTATTTAAATCTAGCACCAAAAAAAAAAAAAAAAAAAGAAAATCCACAAGTTCTAAATTTTGCACGAACACGAAAATACGCAAACGAAAAATAGCGCTTCTAAAATATACGCATAGTGAAATCTGTTCTCCCTTTCTATATAATGGAAGTTCTGTTATTTTAGATTTAGTCTTAGTCTAGTCTTTATTTTTCGATCTCTTAACCCACCACCTCTCTGAACGCTGATTTATCGATTAGAATGTCGTTTAAAGACAGTCAACATTTTTCTCTCCCTTTTTTTCATAGGTTCAATAATCTCCCTTTGATTGTTTGAAATTCCTTTAGAGTTTAGAGCAAACACATAAAAGCTGAAAATTTAATGTGGAGTTCATTTAGTAGTTCTAAAAATAGTTTCATTGATTGCTCAATCAAAAAGTAATTGTAAGACGTCGTAAACAAGTTTGCAAGTTTATGGTGATCACGTGACATGATGACGCCACTGGATCAGAGGATCCTAAAAACAAGTGACACGAAGGTCTTACTAAATTACGATTTCTCCATAAACCAGTGAAAAACTTCTACACGTTACACTTCAAATAGTTTTAAACGATGATTTACTTGAGACATTTTTTTCTGTTGCTCGGTTTTCTTTGTTTATTTAAAATATTAACAGTGCAGTTGTAGTTTAAGCTTAGTTTCAAAACATCGCACATAAATATTAAATTGTCAGCTTTTTAAAACTTGCTTTTTCCTCTCCCTTATTGCTTTTACATGTAGATTTTTTTTCTTGTTGCTATTATAAAGATGTGCTAGAAAGCACTAGATTAGATTCTAGTTATATTTATATTTATTAGTAACGTAGAGACGTAAATTTTATCTAACTAGATTGTATATGGTAGATATGGTATAATATATATAATTTTAGACGTTGTTTAAATTTGCTTACACTATGCAGCCTATTACAATCCATAGAACATTACTATTAGGTTTGACGTGTACTTCTGATTTAATGTTTAGTTTTTATTTCAATAAAACAATTTCGATGTTTCTAGAATCAATGTTCAGTATTTATGGATTTCTAGGTACTAAAATAACACAAACTGTTAAAGTTAGTCATTATAGAATTGTTTGCAAGTAAAACTCTCTTATATTTTGTCTTAAGTCGAATCACATCACATACAGTTTGTAAAATCTTTCAACTTGCACATAGACATAACTAAATATTTTTTACGCCTTCTTTTCTGTAATGTATTTCGTGTAATATTCAAAGAATTTCCCGTTTAATTTGTAGAAATCGCGAAAAATCCCCTTCAGTGTTATACAGATGAGATCAAATCAAACTTGAATGATATTTTTAATTTTTACATTTTCAAGGTTTGACGAAATGGCCTCGTTTTGAAAGCGGACACGACGTACAGATTTTAAACGGGTGAGACTAGTTTTACCAAGTACTTGGGTTTACTTTGCTATATTTTTTTTCATTGGATGGCCACAGTAAAAATATAGTTACCTGCATGGAGATGGGTTAAATAAAGAAATTAGTGAGCCACATCACACTTTATAAATCAGTTACGGAGGGGGAGAGGAAAGATAGAGGTTGCAAAGATAGGACACAGTGGTCACACTTTTAAGATAATTTATTTTTGACAAGTAGTTTGCCATCATAGATTTGAATGCCTTTCACCAAAGGGTATTTAGTTTAAACAGTTTGTGCTATGATTCTTGATAAAAAAAACTGCACTTGAAATAAAGCGTAAAAAAATATAAAGATTTAAAGTGCGTATATTTTTTATTTGAATACACAATCGGACTTTAATTCGGACCCAAGTTTGGCGACAGGAATTTCCAGTCGCAGCCTCAGAACTAGTTAAGCTTAAAACCTCCAGACGACATTACATACATTTTTTTTGTGGCACGCCAACGCAAGTTGTTGAGACGACAGCCAAGAAAAAAAAGCCAAAAAAAATGTGGGGGAAAAAATCTGAGCATAGCAGACGTGTGCGTGTGCGTATGTGCACTCAGATTGCCATTAGCTGTTGAGTTGCCGGCAGACAAATGGTGTGTCAGTAGCTGGGCAGCTGCACTTCATCCCCACGTCGTGTTCCCCAGCTCTGCCACAAGCCGTAGATTGGCCAGACGAACGATTTTTTTTCTGGCCGCGTCAAAAAATAATCCCTGTAATAAACAAGACGAGGTGTGAGTTTGATGGAACGGTGGGGGGTGGGGGGGGGGGTATGATTGGTGGGAGGGTGTTTTAAATAACTGGACACAGAGGAACGAATTAGAGGTTTGAAGAGGCAGAAGAGTTGGAATAACTTGAGAGGAGGAAAGAATAAGAGGTTGGCCAGGAGAGAAATATTGGCGATTTGGGGATTTGAACAATTTTATGTTAGTAGAGTACTGCTAATGGAGTAGTGTATGCTAGTAGTGTACTAAAATGATGTATGTGTATGTTAGTAGTGTACTACAAATGATGTATGTGTATGTTAGTAGTATACTGCTAATGTTTTTGTGTTAAATGGCCATTTTAATTATGTACTAATAATGGTGGTTCATTTAATTAATAAAAACGAACCTGAAATATCCGTACATGTCAAATAACTAGACAAACCAGTTGTTACATTGTGATGGACAAAACATTGGAGACAGCGACATCTATTAACAGACCAGCGTCAAGAGAATCTGAAACCACTAGACACACCAACACAATTGGCAAACAATGACGTACATCGTGACGTATATGATGGCATAGAATGTGATAGAACGACATATGAAACCAGGCATAGAATTTTAGACAGCGACACATAAAACCACGTGACACCAAAAACATACAACAGATACGGTTTTTTTTGGGTCGACTACAACCTTGACTTAATTGGTCATTATTTTTTTCCAGTCTCTGATCGCCAATTGGTCTCACCCCCACGGCTTATATAATCAATCGTATCTAATTATTGCTTGTATCAAATTGGCAGTTTTAATTGTTGATGTAACATCGTTTAATTAGTACAGTAGGTTGAAACAGGGCTAAATTAAAGTCATGTATAAACTGTTTTAAGGTTTAGAATATTACAAATCTATGGTTAAATGTGTGCTGTCTCTAATATATTTGGTGATTGAAATATTAGACGTATCTTTTGTAAGTTTATCAAATATAAAAACAAAACTAAAAATAAAATACAAAACATATTCAACCCAGGCGAAATATAAGATGTCTATTGCTACTAATTAATTAATTATTCACACAATAACAGGACTAGAAAAGTGTTGATGTCAGATAAGTTTTATTCTTTTGTAATTTTTTTTAAAGTTGCGGAAACAACCACAAAACTTACGTGGGTGGTATTTAAAGCACAAAACCTGATTATTTACACACTTTTTTTTTTATTTCACACACACCATCAACAGCGTCTGATTTCGATTCTTTCACCAAGTACATTACATTATTGTAAAGCCAATCTGAACTGTAAAGCACTATCACATGCTGGAAGTATTCTTTAGGAAATGATACCATATGTATTCTTATAGCAGCATCAGCTAATTGTTTTCGTTATTTTATGTGACTTTGCTGTTGGAAACAAAATAGTAAATTTTGTTGTGCTAAGGATTTTAACAAACATTCGTGTAAACTTTTGCGTTAGGACATTTTGTAAGACATTTGGTTAAGACATTTTTAAGACACTTGGTTAAGATATTTCCTCAGACTTTTTGTCAGGCATTTGGTTAAGACATTAGATTAAGACATTTTCTAAGACATTTTGTAAGACATTAGGTTAAGATATTAGGTTAAGATATTTCGTAAGCAATTTCTAGTTGAAAGTGCTTAGTGTGAATATTACACGAAGATACAGAGATCGTCATGCTTGTGCCGTTGTTTTAAAATAAATCATTCTGTTTGTTCCGGTAACCCCACCCTGTTCTTTGATTCTTACACTAGAGGCAGGCCTGTGTCCAGCGAGGTCACTAGGTCGGGCGATCCCCACCCCACCCCGCCCCCGACTTGTGACGCTACACCCTTTGCCCTAAAATGTGTTTTACGATTTGTCTTTTCGATAGTTTAGCAGCAAACTAAAAGGGTGATTAAATTCTTTTATTCAACGTTATCAATGTCAGCCTGACATAAAACAGACAGCGAGCTGACCTACAGTTGACCACGCCCACTTAACTGTCCTGTCTCTTTACGCATGACTTGGCCTGACCTCGCTGTCCTGCCGTCACGCCATGTTTAATCAGAGCTTAATTAATGAGACCAATGGTGAATTTTTTCGTGAGCTCTGTTGGTTGTATGCGTGACGCTACTTGTTATGTCTCTGGGTCATGTGGTTGTGACGTAACGTATAACTGACCAGGAGTTTCTGCCGTGTTGGGTTCAAATGATTGTGTGCGGTGAAAATAACGCTCTATAAACAAGTTCTGCATTATTATGTACATTGTAAAATACCAGCTTAGATTCTATATGCAGAAACGTTGTGTTCTTTCACGTTATATTTTTAAAAATCTGTGTTGTAAACAAAACATCTTCACCATCACTACTAGAAACCTACATCTTCACCATCACCACTAGAAACCTACATCTTCAACATTAAATTATGCTGTTTGTACATCTTGCGCTCACAATATGTTTTATAGTTACAAAATTATGTTTTAAAAAATGAAGATACTCAACTATTAATACGTTTCAAAAGAACACATTTTCTTCACTTTCATTTGTTTATTGTAAATTTAGTCCAGTATACAAACGTTGTTTTTTTAAATTTCCGTATACGCTTCATTAAGCTGAAGTCTACAGTAGTCTATAAACTTTTTACATAATGTCTAGAGCTCAGTGGCGTCACTATGTCGATGTTAACTGGCGCAGTCACTGAGGGTGTCGACCCTCATCCCATTTTGCTGTTCGGTTTGGTGTTACCTCTTGCCCAAAGGTCGTTTTCCCGAATGCGACAAATGCTCTTGTTTATACAATGTGTTACAACGAATACATAATTAAAAAATGAGATTCATTGTGGCTTGTCGGACTGGTAAAGCTGATCGCTGCTAAACCGTCAGGTCCCGAGTTCGAACCCCTGGGTAGATGGGGCCCAATAACAGGGAACAGAAATCCATTAAGAGAAAACTTCCAAATCAAACAACTGCTGCACTGTAATTTGTTCTTGGTTGGACACAAGCTATGGAAGCAAATCTAAAATTAAAACAGGCTGACCATGTTGACACGTATACTTAATTGTGTTAGTGGGAATTCTGATCAACATTATAGTTAAGAAAGAAGATGAAGGTTTCACCCATTTAATGGTGTCACCCAGTGCGACCGCCCCCCGCGCCCTCGCCTTGTGGTGCTAGAACTAGAGCTGCCCTTACTTTGATGTCTTTATTAACAGAACCAGAGACGAGATAAAGGGAGTAAAATCTGCACGTTGTTAGCGACTTTGTAGACGGCCACGAGCAATCATCTCCCTCTACACCCCCCACCTCCCCTCTCGTCTAATGAGATGTTGTTTGGCCGACATATTGTCGTTCGGTAAAATAGGTCACATCCGTTTTGTCCGCGGAGAGACCTAATTGATCTCACATTGGTGGCAGTTTGTTTCCTAAAGCATATCCATGCTTGGTCGTCATGTCATCAAATGTCAGCTGTAAGCATTGTCATCTGGTCATTCAAGATTTTGAAGGTTGGCCAGTAACTCTAGACTTGTCAATTTAGATTCTTGACATCTGGACTTGTCGGCTATGGTTCTTGACCTTTTTGTCATTGAATCGAAGGTTTGAATGGACACTTTGAATGTTAGCCGGATTTGTTTTGATTGGTTGATTTGACCCGGAAGTGATCAAAGTGAAGCTTCACAGTTTGAGACGCGAACAAAAAACGATTGGCTTAGATTTGAAACAAAACATGTTGACACGACCTACATTACATGTTGACGTCTTGTCGTGAGAATGGTTTTTTTAATGGGTTAAAAAACCTGAAACAAAAAACCATGTTTGTTTTTAATGTCATCGTCTTATATCGTATACACTTTGCTTTTCTTCTGTCGGGTATTACATCAACTTTTATCTTATATTCTTGACTTTAGCCAGGTATTTCATCAACTTTTATATTCTTGACTTTTCTTTTGCTTGGTATTTCATCAACTTTTATCTTATATTCTTGACTTTTCTCCTGCCAGGTATTTCATCAAGTTTTATATTCTTGACTTTTCTTTTCTTGGTATTTCATCAACTTTTATCTTATATTCTTGATTTTATTTCACCAGGTATTTGAAAGTCCTCGAGACGTAGCTCCTGACTGCGTCAATGTTCCCGCCCATAGTTGACAGCCGGAAGTAAACAACACGACGATTGGTGCGTGATGACTGTATCCAAACCTCAATAATCCCAACTTACCGCAATAATCCCAACAAACCTCTGTAATCACTAATCCCAACAACTCAATAATCCCAACAACTCAATAATCCCAACAACTCAATAATCCCAACAACTCAATAATCCCAACAACTCAATTATCCCAACAACTCAATAATCCCAACAACTCAATAATCCCAAGAACTCAATAATCCCAACAACTCAATAATCCCAAAAACTCAATAATCCCAACAACTCAATAATCCCAAAAACTCAATAATCCCAACAAACTCACCAATCCCAACTGATCCCAGTAATCCCAACATACCTCATTAATCCTAACATACCTAAGTAATTCCTACAAACCTCACCAAACCCTACAAATTCCCAAATCCAAACAAACCTCAATAATTCCAACATGTAACATTTACTAGCTACGCCAAAATGTATAACTTTGATGTATTGTGAAATAATTAATTAATACGTCTAGTGGTATAATTTAATTATGTATCTGTATGAAATAATGTATCAATCCGTCCAAATATGTTATTTTAATATTTTTATTATGTATCCACGTCCCACGATGAATTAATTTATCAATACTTCCAAATGTGTAATTTAAGTATTTATCTGTATGCAGTAATGTACCGATACGTCCAAATATATCATTTACTTATGTATCCACAATGAAATAATTTATCGATTACTTTGTTCCATTTTAGTTTCCCATATAACAAACACGTATCACACAAATGTCTGGCAGATGTGCTCAGCTCACAAAACTGTTAACATTAATGTACATTTAATCATTAAGATAAACATTGTATGTATGCTATCACTACTAACTCAAGCCTTAGTTAAGCTCAGTGGCGTAGCGAGGTCGGGTGTCACCCGGTGCGGCACTTAATGGTGTCACCCCCCATAGGCGTAGCGACCCTTCCCGGGGACAAGCTTTCAAATTTTCGATTTGCACCTCCCCCTCAAACTTTCGATTTTCACCCCCCCCCCTCAAGTTTTCGATTTGCACCCCCCTCAAACTTTCGATTTGCACACCCCCTCCCTCAAGTTTTTCTCTATATATTTTGCTATTTTTTGCCTTGGTGTCCCCCCCCCCCCCAAATGGTGTCACCCGGTGCGGTCCACACCCCCGCCCCTACTCGCTACGCCTCTGGTTAAGCTCAACATATGTTGTCACAAACATACGTATCTGACCTCACATACATATCTGACGTCACAAACATAACTGACTTATCAATATTGTCATGTATTTACTTTTGTTGTAGAAATACGTCGCACCAAATAACCGCCATATTGTTTTTAAAAATTATTTTCCTCCAATTAAAATGTCGTTGAAATATCGTTGACTGACTGAGAAGTTGTACAGGGAGATAACTGTATGGCTTAAAGTCTGTTTTAAATAGTTTCTGTTTGGTAGTAGCTGGAATGTGTTGGACGAAAACCAGTTATTTCTTGGGTTGGGTGACCGCAGCACGGTAGAGGGCGCTTGGCTTTTTTTTATGGGAGCCGTAGAACAGATACCTTGGGATTTTTCGACTATAATAAAATTTATGAACAGGAAAAAAACGGAAGTTTAAATTTCAAATAGACAACACATTAATATGCCGTTTATGGTTAAAGTAATATTTCATTACCTGAAAAGTATAAATAGTTAAAACATTTATAGGTATATTAAATATTTAGGTAAGGAATTCTTTTTATAGAAAATAATTTATTACACAGTGTTAGTCAAATTTCTTGACACTCTTTTAAGCGTTTTGAGAAATGCGAAATATTTTGGTCAAGTAAGTGACGCTTTGGTCGCTGATAAATAGCAATTCTTTGAATATATGGATGGTAGCCGTATGAATAGACAAAAAACAGTTTGACGAGATGGGTTATATTATTTTTGTTGACATGGATAAAAATCGTGTTTTCTGTCAATTTCGCTTTTATAGGGGCTATTAAAAAATGTAAGCATGAAAAAAAAATAATTAAGAAATTTAATATTTTAAGAAACAACGATATAAAAGTTGCAAATGCAGAGAACTTGATATTATTTTTTTTTCGATTAAGACTACACTTCTATTTATTTTCACCAAGCCTACATTTTTAAGCTAAGTTAACTTTCGTAAGACAAGCATTGATTGGCTGTTCAGAAATTCCGTCATCGATCTTCTGAAAACCTCAAAATTTTGCCGATAAAATTATTAATGCACAATTCAAGACTGTTCACGTTGGTGTTTAATGATCTATGTACTATGTCCTCCATGTTCTGTAGTACACAGAAGGACATTTTAGGACAAAAATGTCCACAAACACACGTATCTGCAAACACCATAGATAACTGTGGCTCTACATTGTACGTGTCTAGTAGTGTTGTGTTTGGTAGCCTGCTGGGTAGCCTCCTGTGTGTAGCTTCCTGTGTGTAGCCTAACTGGTAGCCTTCTGAACTAGCCTGGTGGAGTAGCCCCCATAATTAGCCCTGTTGTAATTAATGTTTTTTGCTGTAAATGTCCTTAATCTTAACAGCATTATAATTTGTTAGACTGTGATACTTTTTCCTTATATTTAGACATTTTAAAGTCCCCTTACTTATATATTTATATACTATAACCATAACATAAAGCATGTAGTTTGTTATTCTTGTCTTATTACTTAATAATTGATTTACATATGTATTAAGGTATAAACTACAAAATATGTAATAACATGAATAAAATTCTTTAAAATATTGCAGTTTTTGTTTTATATTATCAGTACTATATTTTAAATGTCACTTCATATGAAAAAATATTCATGAATTAAAGGTCTTTGACCTGAAAACTTAGTCATGATTTTAAATGTCACTTGACATGAAAAATTAGTTATGATTTCAATTGTCACTTTACATGAAAAATTAGTTATGATTTCAAATGTCACTTGACCTGAAAAATTAGTTATGATTTCAAATGTCACTTGACATGAAAAATTAATCACGATTTCAAATGTCACTTGACCTGAAAAATTAGTCACGATTTCAAATGTCACTTGACCTGAAAAATTAGTCATGATTTCAAATGTCACTTGACCTGAAAAATTAGTCATGATTTCAAATGTCACTTGACCTGAAAAATTAGTCATGATTTCAAATGTCACTTGACCTGAAAAATTAGTCATGATTTCAAATGTCACTTGACATGACAACTGGACAGATCCAGCTCTGGATAATTATTCCGACATAAATGTCACTCCACGGCTTGATTTCAAATACAGTCAAATATAGCATCAATAGAACTTTAAATTAAACCTGCACTTACACCTCTATAAAATTAAACCTACACCACTATAACATTAAGCCTACACCACTAAAACATTAAACCTACACCACTATAACATTGAACCTAAACCTGCACTTACACCACTATAACATTAAACCTACACCACTATAACATTGAACCTACACCACTATAAAATTAAACCTACACCACTATAACATTAAACCTACACCACTATAAAATTAAACCTACACCACTATAAAATTAAACCTACACCACTATAAAATTAAACCTACACCACTATAAAATTAAACCAACCCCAATTGAAAATAATAGGGCTTCTAAGTCTCGGTCTCTCTCGCTAAAATTTGTAAATCTCGTTAGCTAGAGAGGATATACATTTTAGAAATATATTAATTGTTGTGAACATGAGCCTACTAAAAACATGCCGGCTATTTTTTTCTGGGCTTCAAGATTTTAAAATACTATGATAGCTCAAAATCCAACAATTATATTTTTAAAAACTAATAATGGAATGAAATTAAGTCCCTGTAGGCTTAGGCTATTTATAAGATTATTTTATCATATTGTAACTACGTTTAGGACAACTAGTTATGGATTAAAATAATGACTAACTGTAGGCTTCTCTATAAAAATCACAATTTTACATATCCTATATTTTTTGTTAAACTAATCAACATCTTGTAGTCTATTATTTCAACTGTTTTCGACTTAAAATAACTATAGCGGACGTAACGTTTCTATTTTTTCCCGGTTTAATAAAAATATTTGAATTCGGTTTGAAAAATACTATATCTAGCTGGCAAGTGCGAGAAGGAGATTTTGGTGACCTACTTACGAGCCCTTTAACGAAAATTAACCTTACGCTAATAAAAATTAAATCCTGCATCAATTTGAAAACTACTAAACAAACAGCATTCTGACACTTAAAATGGGACATTTTAAATTAAATATAACATTTTTTAAACTTAAAATACTGAGGAAAAGTAAAATATAAAATACCAGTAGTTGTAATTATTAAAATGCATTCATTAATTAAACAGAAAAAGAAATCATAGTGGGACTTTTTGGTGTTAATGTAAGCCCTGCTGGGGGGGGGGGGGGGGATAACTAAAATCTACTCTACCCTTCCCTAGGCTTATCTAACTACTGTCCGGTTAGTGCAAGTCCGGCTAAACACAGACTGGTTAATAACCTAACCTTAGTCTAAATAATAAAAACAAAAAGCTTTTAACAATTAATTAAATTTATTACATGGAACCAATCAAAATATTGAAAATAAGAAAGATGAAAAACTACAGAATACACAAAACACGACTAAACAAAACTCAACGTGACAAAACAAGACTAAACAAAACACTCGAGACATACAAAACAGAAATAGAACTCAACGGAAAAAACACCCAATTTCGGATCACCGTCGTTACCATACACCACATAAATGTGACACAGAAACTCTTCAACACACAGGCCTCGACATTCCAGCAGAACGTCCCTCCCTGTCCACACACCACATTCACGAACAAAAAACAATTCTACGCACAAGAAAATAGTCCCTAATACAATAATAAGTAACATTCAGGACATAAAGCAAAGTGGAGCAACACTCCTTAAACAATGTTTGCATAAATAACATCAAAATATAAACAAGACAAAGCAATTATAAACCATTTTAAAATCCCAATCTTATCAGCGCCAGAATAGCGGACTACTTAACTAGAAACCACAACAATCCTCAGAGGAACACAAAAAGACATTCACCTTTTTGTAATAAAATAATTAAATAACTCCCCAGCCCCTTACATTAAATTAAGGACTTGTTAAAAAAACAACAACATAAAAAAGCCAGCGTAAATTAACTTCTTGTTATTAAAAGCAAATTGTCATGAACTAATCCACACTTTGCTTATCCCCTCCCTCTCTCTCTCCCCCTCTCCCTCTCTCTCTCTCTTATGTTCTCAAAACGCCGATCAAACAAAGACAACATCAACAGCAGCTTATTGTTCATAAAATTTATTCTCTGTGGTGTTAAATACAACATTAATACATTTTTTTGGTTTAAATGTGATTGATACCATGTTTTATTTTAAAAATGTGATTGATACAGTTTTATAAATAAATAATTGTCATTGGACACAGTTGGGATGTCACTTGCATAAATAAATGACGTTTTGTTGGCATCACAAGAAAAAGATGTAGTTGAATCCCGCGAGGATGTTGATGTGTTCAACAGATGACCCCCACCCCCACCCCGGGGTTTTAAATGTGATCAACCAGTGACCCCCCTCCCCTCACTGGGGATGTAGTTGTGTTCAACACGTGAATAAATGACCCCCCACTCAACACCGAGCACACCGCCTTGAAGTGGTGGGATGGCTTGTGTGCCCCAGCGACCCCCAGAGCTATGCAGGCGGGAGCCTAGTGCTCCTGGCGGGTCTAACCAAGTTGGACAGGTCTGCGTGGGTAGGGGCCAGACCAAACGATGTGCCCTGGTCCTCCAGGTTGGGGGTTGTGCGATGGGCTAACTACTCGTCCACATAAAACAAAAGACAGTTACAGAAACCAAAGCCAAATCCGAAACAAATCCAGTCCTCGGGAGAATCAGGGCTCCACTTAGGAGAAGTATGACGCAATGCAGCCAAATCCGTAAGGAAGCTACAGAGCCGACCCCCCTTCTTCAACCGGGGAAAACTATAGGTGTGCAAATAAGAAGGAGGAAGTGGCGCTGGGTGGGTCACACACTGCGAAAGGCTCACACAAATGTTACACGCCAAGCGCTTGAGTGGAACCCCCAGGGAAAGCGGAAGAGAGGGCGCCCAAGACAGACCTGGAGGCGGAGTCTTCTTGTAGAACTGAAGCCAATAGGGATGTCTTGGGAGATGTCAAAATTAATAGCCGAGGATAGGAAGAAATGGAAGGAAATGGTGGAGGCCCTATGCTCCATAAGGAGCAAAGAGGACTCAACACCGAGGATGTAGTTGCGTTCAACACGTGAATAAGTGACCCCCCCCCACACTCCGGGGTTCTACATGTAATCAAAACGTGAACAGTTCAATAAGTTAGATTGCAGTAGAACAAGGGATGCGGCCCGCCACAGAATTGTTTGTGGCCCACCAGACATTCAGAAAATCCCGCCTTGAACTGAGATTTCCTTCACGTCCGCGACCGAAAGTTCATCTCGTATTTTTTCCATTAGAGCGGCGATGTTCATGCACAGGAAGTGAAAATAAGCACGTTTCCGGTTTGTCAGTTTTATTATAGTTTTGTCTATGCAACAGTAAAATAAAAAAAAAATTCCAAATTAAGTGAAGCCATGAACCCTCCAAAAAGCGTAAAATTATTGATGAATTCCGTGTGTTTAATGAAGAATAAGAATGGACGTACAAATATTTCTTTGGTAACACAGGCAAGTTTTATTTATTGATTTTTATGATCCCATTTACAATTTTTTAAAATGAAATGTAATGTTGACTAAAGAATATAATCAACTTAAACGGTGCGGCCCTCCGCTAAAATCCGCTACCGCAAAGTTGCCCTCGAGCCAAATCAATTCCCCACCCTCCTGCTGTAGAAGAATACGTAGTTACCACCTCGATCTCCGCCCAATGAAAAGCAAGAATAACGTGTTAAAAATATGTAGGGCTTATGACAACTATGTAGGACAAGAATGAAATACATAGGACATATGACACATATCTAGGACATGTTAAATATGTAGGACATGTATAGAGTATGTAGGACATGTGACACATATGTTGGACATATGACATATGTAGGACATATAACAAATGTAGGACATGTATGAATTATGTAGGACATATGACATTTGTAGGATATATGACAAATGTAGGACATGTATGAATTATGTAGGACATGTGACGAGTATGCAGGGCACGTAGCCCTTTTGTAACACATCTTTACAAGCTTTTAGAGATGTAATAAATCTTTGGGAGTTGTAACGAATGTGTAGCAACGTAACACATGTATGTAACATGTAAAACACATGTAGTACATTATGTAAAATCTCACACATCTGTTGTACATGTATGTAACATCTCACACATCTGTAGTACATGTATGTAACATATCACACATCTGTAGTACATGTATGTAACATATCACACATCTGTAGTACATGTATGTAACATATCACACATCTGTAGTACATGTATGTAACATATCACACATCTGTAGTACATGTATGTAACATATCACACATCTGTAGTACAACGCTACCCTCGGGCCAAGAGTTACATCGCCACCCCCGGGGCACGAGTTATATATAACTTACAACGCCACCGCGGGCCAGAGGAGTAACAACACCACCCCCGGCTACGAGTTACACCGCCACCCCCGGGCCAGGCTTTACAATACCACCCCCGGGTCACTAGTTATAACTTAAAATGCCACCCCCGGGCCACGAGTTACACCGCCACCCCCGGGCCACGAGTTACAACGCCACCGCCGGGACAGAGTTCTGCGACTGCGTGTTTTTCCTGACGAGTGTCGTGTACTCCGTGTACGAGTGCATGGATATCGCGCGCTGGCCATCCGTGCTCCGGCAGCAACAGCACGCGCAGCAGCTGAACCGGTGGAAGATGACCTTGAACTTGCTGCGGAAGTTGTCGCTGAAGACGCAGTAGAGGACGGGGTTGGCGGCGCTGTTGATGTACGCCAGCGTGGTGGTGAAGACGTAGAAGACCCAGGTGGCGTCGAACCCGGCGCTGGAGAACAGGTTGTAGAAGAGCATGACCTGATGCGGGGAGTAGCTCAGGAAGTAGATGGCGACACTGGCCATCAGCATCTTGACCACACCTTTCCTGGCGCGGATCGCCTCGCTGTAAGCGCGCGCCGGACCCCGCCCTTTTGGGCGCGAGGCGCTACTTATCCCCCCGCTGTTGCGGTGAAGTTTCTCGACCCCGACGAACAATCGTTTGCCGATGACGGCGTAGCATACGACTTGGATGACGAGGGGGCCCATGTAGAAGAGGGCCGATTCGGTGTATTTAAAGATGGAGTTGAAGAACTCGTGATGGGTCCTGTTGGGGTGGAACACGATGATGCAGAAGTTTTGGGGCGGGGTCTCCGACAGCTGCATCACGCGGTTGAAGACTGCGGTGGGGGTGGCGCACAGGCCGGAGAACATCCAGATGGTAACCATGACGACGAGGATACGCCGTTTGGTGCAGAATATGTGGGCTTTGATGGGGAACACAATGGCGATGTACCTGGGGATTAGAGAGGACACATTTTAATCATGTCACAAATAACAAATATGGGGAACACAATGGCGATGTACCTGGGGATTAGAGAGGACACATTTTAATCATGTCACAAATAACAAATATGGGGAACACAATGGCGATGTACCTGGGGATTAGAGAGGACACATTTTAATCTTGTCACTGATAGAGAGGACACATTTTAATCATGTCACTAATAGAGAGAACACATTTTAATCATGTCGATAATAGAGAGGACACATTTTAATCATGTCACTAATAGAGAGGACACATTTTAATCATGTCGATAATAGAGAGAACACATTTTAATCTTGTCACTAATAGAGAGGACACATTTTAATCTTGTCACTAATAGAGAGGACACATTTTAATCATGTCACTAATAGAGAGGACACATTTTAATCATGTCACTAATAGAGAGGACACATTTTAATCATGTCACTAATAGAGAGAACACATTTTAATCATGGCACTAATAGAGAGGACACATTTTAATCATGGCACTAATAGAGAGGACACATTTTAATCATGTCACTAATAGAGAGAACACATTTTAATCATGGCACTAATAGAGAGGACACATTTTAATCATGGCACTAATAGAGAGGACACATTTTAATTATGGCACTAATAGAGAGGACACATTTTAATCCTGTCACTAATAGAGAGGACACATTTTAATCATTTCACTAATAGAGAGGACACATTTTAATCATGTCACTGATAGAGAGAACACATTTTAATCATGTCACTAATAGAGAGGACACATTTTAATCATGTCACTAATAGAGAGAACACATTTTAATCATGTCACTAATAGAGAGGACACATTTTAATCATGTCGATAATAGAGAGGACACATTTTAATCATGTCACTAATAGAGAGGGCACATTTTAATCCTGTCACTAATAGAGAGGACACATTTTAATCATGTCACTAATAGAGAGGACACATTTTAATCATGTCACTAATAGAGAGGACACATTTTAATCATGTCACTAATAGAGAGGACACATTTTAATCATGTCACTAATAGAGAGGACACATTTTAATCATGGCACTAATAGAGAGGACACATTTTAATCATGTCACTAATAGAGAGGACACATTTTAATCATATCACTAATAGAGAGGACACATTTTAATCATGTCACTAATAGAGAGGACACATTTTAATCATGGCACTAATAGAGAGGACACATTTTAATCATGTCACTAATAGAGAGGACACATTTTAATCATGTCACTAATAGAGAGGACACATTTTAATCATGTCACTAATAGAGAGGACACATTTTAATCATGTCACTAATAGAGAGGACACATTTTAATCCTGTCACTAATAGAGAGGACACATTTTAATCATGTCACTAATAGAGAGGACACATTTTAATCATGTCACTAATAGAGAGGACACATTTTAATCATGTCACTAATAGAGAGGACACATTTTAATCATGGCACTAATAGAGAGGACACATTTTAATCATGGCACTAATAGAGAGGACACATTTTAATCATGTCACTAATAGAGAGGACACATTTTAATCATGTCACTAATAGAGAGGACACATTTTAATCATGTCACTGATAGAGAGAACACATTTTAATCATGTCACTAATAGAGAGGACACATTTTAATCATGTCACTAATAGAGAGGACACATTTTAATCATGTCACTAATAGAGAGGACACATTTTAATCATGTCACTAATAGAGAGAACACATTTTAATTATGGCACTAATAGAGAGGACACATTTTAATCCTGTCACTAATAGAGAGGACACATTTTAATCATGTCACTGATAGAGAGGACACATTTTAATCATGTCACTAATAGAGAGGACACATTTTAATCATGTCACTAATAGAGAGAACACATTTTAATCATGTCACTAATAGAGAGGACACATTTTAATCATGTCGATAATAGAGAGGACACATTTTAATCATGGCACTAATAGAGAGGACACATTTTAATCATGTCACTGATAGAGAGGACACATTTTAATCCTGTCACTAATAGAGAGGACACATTTTAATCATGTCACTAATAGAGAGGACACATTTTAATCATGTCACTAATAGAGAGGACACATTTTAATCATGTCACTGATAGAGAGGACACATTTTAATCATGTCACTAATAGAGAGGACACATTTTAATCATGTCACTGATAGAGAGAACACATTTTAATCATGTCACTAATAGAGAGGACACATTTTAATCATGTCACTAATAGAGAGGACACATTTTAATCATGTCACTAATAGAGAGGACACATTTTAATCTTGTCACTAATAGAGAGGACACATTTTAATCTTGTCACTAATAGAGAGGACGTTTTAATCATGTCACTAATAGAGAGGACACATTTTAATCATGTCACTAATAGGACACATTTTAATCATGGCACTAATAGAGAGGACACATTTTAATCATGTCACTAATAGAGAGAACACATTTTAATCATGTCACTAATAGAGAGGACACATTTTAATCATGTCGATAATAGAGAGGACACATTTTAATCATGTCACTAATAGAGAGGACACATTTTAATCATGTCACTGATAGAGAGGACACATTTTAATCATGTCACTAATAGAGAGGACGTTTTAATCATGTCACTAATAGAGAGGGAGAGGACGTTTTAATCTTTTCACAAATAACAAATATGGGGACCACAATGGCGACATACCTGGGGTGAAGGGTGGACACATTTTAATCATGTAACTGATTAACAAATATTGTCTGTTTTAAAACTTTCATTTCCCGTGTGCGTGCACGTGCGAGGCAACATATTTGTTTTATGGATACATCGGATGGAATTAAATGTTAAGAGAGTTTGGGCTGCACAAAGCCTTAATTTTAAATACACTATCACAACTATTACTCGGCGCGCTTTATGTTTCAAATGCTCAAAGCCTTATATATATATATATATATATATATATATATATATATATATATATATATATATATATATATATATATATATATATATATATATAGCTTCCACAGAACCATACTGTTTTAACTCAATTTTTCGTTTTTTTTCCGAGATTTATACACCGTTATATTCTAAATCTATCAAAGAATGATGGACAAGAAATTCACGGCCCTATCTTTCACCATTATAACACCTGCGTTCAATTTGACCAAGTGATTACTATAGATTAAAGGAAGCAAAGGAAAATAAAGGAAAACAAAACTTTAAAGCCTTGATGTGAACATTTTAGAAAAGGTGGGTATTATATATCCGAACCGAATCAGAACATTGTTTACCTTTCCAACATTTCGAATTTTTTTTAAAGCATTTTTTTTACACAATCTAATTTACCTCCCTTCAAACCTTCCCTGCTGCGGAGAGCTCTCCTAAAGGAGAAAACACTGTTTTAAAAGTTTGCCTTTGATGGTCAAATCCCATGCGGACCATCCGCCTGTGTCACCTAGTAGTTGGCGCGGGCGTGGGCAGTGTTTATAAAGACAAATGACAAAAATACCGCGAGGACAAAAGGCAAGTCGTACAACAACAAGTTTGTGTGGATACAGCAACAAGTTTGTTGAAAAAAATCAAGCTGTATATAAAAGCCCACGTAAAACCAATGTTGTTGATAAACACACTAAAAGTTCTGAAAATAATAAAGTTAAGTAAAAAAGCTGAAAACTTGTGTTTTGTGTTTAAATAAACCATGCTTTCATACAATAGCTTGACGCGCGGTTCGCTAATTCAACTGCTTTAAAAAATGTATATATATATATATATATATATATATATATATATATATATATATATATATATATATATATAGTATATATATATATATATACTATATATATATACACTATATATATATATACACTATATATATATATATATATATATATATATATATATATATATATATATATATATATATATATATATATATATATATATATATATATATATATATATTACACTTTTTGTGTATGGCCGTTTCAATGAATTGAGCGGTATTTTGTCATGTCACTTATTCCAACAACGAATTAAACGAATTACGCCCTTGTCATTAGATTTACTGATACAATAGAGAGAGAGAGAGAGAGAGAGACCTTCCTCATTTATCTATTAACAACACAAAAAACTCCATATTTTTAGCGCAGACATTTATAATTAGGTTTTAACTGTCCTATATTTAAAAATATATGGGAAAAACCCAATTATGAACATGTTTTGTATTACTAAAAATAATAACGAATTTATTAAAGAAATCTCGTTATAGTTCAGCCAGTGTTAAATTCGTACATAGGATTCGTCTTGATAATGTTTAGATAATTCTTAAATTAAACAAAACAAGAATTCTATTTTCAGGCAGAAGACAATAGCACGTGTTTCGTCACCACACAACAGGCGTCGTCTTAATGAAGCAGACGTGACAGAGCTGAATGACAACATGGTTTCGTATCTGACAGAGCTGAATAGGACAACATGGTTTCGTATCTGACAGAGCTGAATAGGACAACATGGTTTCGTATCTGACAGCTCTAAATGTGACAACATGGTTTCGTATCTGACAGAGATGAATGAGAAAACATGGTTTCGTATCTGACAGAGCTAAATGGGACAACATGGTTTCGTATCTGACAGAGCTGAATAGGACAACATGGTTTCGTATCTGACAGAGATGAATGAGAAAACATGGTTTCGTATCTGACAGAGCTAAATGGGACAACATGGTTTCGTATCTGACAGAGCTGAATAGGACAACATGGTTTCGTATCTGACAGAGCTGAATAGGACAACATGGTTTCGTATCTGACAGAGCTGAAAGAAACAACATGGTGTCGTATCTGACAGCTGAATGCGACAACATGGTTTCGTATCTGACAGAGCTGAATAGGACAACATGGTTTCGTATCTGACAGAGCTAAATGGGACAACATGGTTTCGTATCTGACACAGCTGAAAGAAACAACATGGTTTCGTATCTGACAG